ATGAATATATTTTGGCATGTGTTCAACTTAGTAACTTAGGTAGAGGGTAGCCATGATTGTTCTATTCTCCACTTAAGTATTGTTTTGGAAACCTTTAGTAAACATTTTATAGTTGTTGATAAAAAATGCCATGTTATAAATTCGTAGGACAAATAAAATTTCCACTGTGAAACCAAGTCATCTTGGAAGAAACCCATAGGTAGAATACTTGAGACATCGATACTTCTCATACTACTAAGTCATCTAAATTAATTATTGCACTGCATACTTCACACTTTAACGTTGAAGAATCTATTTAGTCACGTAGAGCAATTAATTAAGATCTGAGTACCTGAAAGGCATAACATTTGACCATATAATTAGAGGGCGTGAGTCAATTTTTAGCATGTGAACTTATGCACACAAAGTAGATATTATTTAAGTTCTGGTTAGTGTGTTTTCAGGAAATTGTTTAACGTCATTAGTTAGTTTCATTAATGTAATGAATAATTAGAAAGGTATGGACACTTGTTTAATTTGAAGATTTGAAACACCAAGATGATTCAACAAAGTCTGTCATCAGCCAGAATCTGCTTGTCACTTTTTCATTAAGAAGGTAAGTGGTACCACACAAAGCATTTTATGTAAACGAATTACATGTGATCACTAAGCTTCTTCCTAGTCAAAACATATCATCAAAGAGAACCTACAGTTTTGAGGAAACACAGAGGTACGATTTCAGGCTCGGAAACTGAATGAAATGGGTTAGTATCCTACAGACAGATCCCATTGTGATTTCATGTAACATAAGTTGACAAAAATCAAGTAATGTGAAAACTAGGTTTAGGGTATCTAACAAACTATTGTTCTCATTCATTAAACCTACTCACATTCTCATAAAAACATCTCCAGAATATTACTGGGACCAGTTTCGTTTCGAATGTTCATGCCGTTAGGTAAACAATTCGCAACTTATCTAACGCAAAATAATAGAGGCATTTTACATGATCCTAATTCATCACTCAACATTGACAAGCGATTCACATATCGGATTGCTACCAAGGATCGACATACGAGTACCAACAAGAAGATTTGTAATCCGCATAATTCTTACATCCGTGCTACAAATGGTTTAATCTACCTGCGTATAGACTTAAGCAGAAATTAAAATAGATGTTACAGGAGTATTTTTTCGATGTTACTTTTCTGTCTATGTTATCATATTTATTTTAAAAGAAAAATAATTAATAAACCCGCTCAATAGCCTAAATATCTGCTGCACAAAAAAGACTAATCACATTTCTAGAGAAGGACTGGTGACTCAATAGGAATCAGTTTCAAAGTTTAGTGTTGACATCAATGGCCACTAGTATGAAATGGATCCAACTGATTGGTTTCAAACTAAATATTGTATAAAGCAGGATGTATATATATATATATATATATATATATATATATATATATATATATATATATATATATATATATATCTTGGATTCCACAGGTAACCAAAATAAAAACACCATAAGAATGTAGATGATAACAAAGTGGAATATACACAGGAAATCGGGTAATTGGAGGTCATAAAGCAATAAAAATCAGTTAATTAACAGTCAGGGGATACAAAATCCTTTACTGAATTCAACTCGGTTTAAGATTAAAATGAGCTGGATTTCCTGAACTAATTTAAAAACAGGTTACTAAGTGGTCGTTTAAATTAATACCGCTATTAATGAATTGTGTTAGTTGCAATTAAAGTAATCTGACTAAAGTAATGTGGGCCGAGGTTCATAGATGTTTGGTAGTTGCGTAGAAACCATCAAATCGAAGTTGTAAATTAAGCTAATTAAAATAATTCAATGAAAAGTATGTAAGATAAAAATGGGGGGAATGAGTCTCTGAGGTTAACAGTATTGATAAAATTGTGAAAAATTCGAAACCAGTCTCCCAAACGTTCACAATTTAAAATTCATTCACTCTGGAACGTTTTTCTACCGGATCAACATTTTAAGCGAACTATTATAGCTACTGAGAGGTTTATAAGTAACAAATAAAGTTTAGCAAAATAATTATGGGCTTGATTTCAGAAATTTACATTTTGAAGATATCAAGTTAGTTAATTTTCTGTTTTATTTAATATCATTTCAGAAGCAAATTTTATTATGAAAAGCTTTGACGAAACATTTTGGTCGTTCTCCATACATCTTAATAAAACTTAGACATTAACACCGTTGGATGCCAGCTCAGTGGTCTATCGGTTAAGGGCTCCGGCTCGAGACTGGTAGGTCCTGGGTTCGAATCTCGCGAGAGCGGGTTCGTGGATGCGCACTGCTGAGGAGTCCCATAATAGGACGAAACGGCCGTCCAGTGCTTCCAGGTTTTCCATGGTGGTCTAGCCTCAATTGACTCATGATCTTAACTATAAAATTAATAAAACTTAATTGACACATCAGTTCTGTCAAAGCAATCGAAACTAGGTTTGAGGACCTGAAGGTAAGTTTCGTGTACTTAACACTAATTACTGAGAATTATCTATCTGACATATTCTAGTTACCTTATTACCCTAACAATGTATAATGAAAACCAAAAGGATAAATAAATTGAAGTCGTATTCTTTTGTAAGTCATAGGATATTTCGTTCTTATACTACTCCTTATAATTAGCACTATTCCCAGCGATTAAGAGAACCACTGGTCTTACAAAATTACCGAATAATCCAAGAGTACGAAAAACATACAAGAATAGATCGTAGAAGTAGCCAAACTACATCACGAGAAGAGCACTAACTAGGAATCCTGAAGGAAAATGAAAAAGTTGAAGATCAAAGGACTCACTGACAAGAGAATTGGAAGTAGAGATGAAAAGTATGAATAGTGACTGGAAACAAGTGTAAAGTATTGTCCAGGGTAGAGTTTGATAGAGAACGTTGGTGACTGGCCCATGTTACTGAATGAGGGTAACAGATATAAGTAAATAAGTACGAAATATACACCGAAATTGCCAGGTCTGATAAGCTGAATGCATACTGTTCGATTACTGCCAAAAGTAAAAAGCTGTAGGATAATATCTTCATGTGCGAAATAAGGTTAATTTGAGTAGTTTCTTTAAAAACTAGTCAATTTCTTACAGTCACATGATAAACAAATTACAGGGTCAGAATTTTTCGATTCTGACTGTTAACATTGTTATTAATTTATAAATTTCTTCAACACAAAAATTTCCTTATTTAATACACAGTTGTATAAGTGGTGTGGTGAATTCGTTCAGAATAACTCTCCGAATAAACTATTTTTTGCATAAATTAAAAAAATATCTCTGTTACAGCTCTGGAATGCAAGGCTTATGCTCTTTTTATTTGTGACTCGCCATTGGGATTCACCAACATCTCAGAGTTGGTATTCACTCCAAGATTCATACTTGGTGCCTTTTGTTTCAAACACCTTACATGTCATCGAGTTAGGTACTGAGTCCAGATACCTACTGACTTAAGCAACAGGCATAAATTTGAATTAAATTTTTGATGATATAAGATTATTGATATGTTCGATTAAGTTTAAATTCCAGAGTGGACATCAACTCTGAGATGTAGATACATCCGACTGATTAGTGATAGGTAGTACGAAACTTACATACTAGATCCCATCGCTAGCCACATTTCATATTTTCTATAAACCTGTAACATGATGACTATATCGAGGTAACCCTCATAGGATCTAATGTATACCAACCAAGTATATTTCGTTTTAATAATATTTTCACATTTTATTATCTGATCTGTTAAGTGTTTTACATTGAATGATTTCACAAAGTTATTGGTTAGAGATTTTGAATAATTGAAGTCAAATTTATAGTTTTAAACGAAATTGACCTCTATAATAAAATAAGAGCAACAAGCGAAACACCAACTACATTCACATGCATCAATAAAAAGTATAATGAATTATTCATGATGTGACCAATTTTAATAGTAATGAGAAACGATTAGCAATCTTTAGTCTTATTGTATAACAGAAATGATAGACATCCGTTTGAATCTTTCTAATTCATTTGTGCAATTTCAACACAGGAAATTTTCAAATTCATTGAAATCATTTCTACTGTATGGAGGGAGCGAATAACAATCCCCATGAAAGTAATAATGAGTTACTGATCGATTGATAAAACTATGTTGTCATGTAATATCGTACAAAACTTCTGTCACTCTTATATTCATACATTGTATATGTATTCCATTTATAAAACAAGTAGATAATCAAAAAAACTTAGAATGGACAAAATAAAATGAATTCATTTCATTCCACAATGCTTGTAGTTTTGACTACACAAACTATGGATATTCAAATTAGTGTTTATTTGACTAATAATTGGCGTCATTATATTATTTTCAATAAAGTTTTGCATTCTATTGTACCCTAATTAGTGATATCTCTAAATAAAATGAAAAAATTCATGTATCAGTCATTTAGGATCCTACAGTGATCCTACAATGAATACCTGTTGGACAAGCTGATGAATATCTGAACTCAGTAATTCAATATATAATAGGTTGGTATATTTTTTTTACTGAATAGTACTGGGTGTAAGACTGAATGTAACCATTACCAGCCATTCTCCAACTTTAAACATAATGCTTAATAGTATGAGTTAACTTCATATTATGGAAATATCCAATTATCAGCGATGATGAAATAATAAATAAGCAATAAATAAAAAATACAATGAAAGCCAGTTTTTGTTTCCTTTTTCAATCTTTTTGTACTTTCTAATCTAGGAATACAATCAGTTATCACAATTTATTTCATTAAAATCTGGTAGATAATTAGAACGGAGTCATAAATTTTGTGTGTGTGGATGATTTAAATAAACTCAAATGATTGGTAAATAACTAATCTTTTTATTAACTTGTCTTTCTGTTAAATAGTAATGTTAATCTACTCATTATATTAGTTTACATCATGTAGAAGTGGTTAAGGTCAACTACTTCTTTTTTTCTTTCTGTAACTCTTTATATCTATAGGAATATGTTACCAATAGATTTAAAACTTCGTATTATTACAACTATTGAAGGATTTATTGGAACTATATTAAATTTATTAACATTATTTATTGTATTTAAAACACAGTTTGGTTCAAAATCTACAACATTAATGTTAAGATTACAAACAATATTTGATTGTATAGCATGTTTATTATATTCAATTTACTTAGTAACAGAAAATAAAAATTTATTAGATAATAAAAATCCAACTAATATATTATTTATTAATGAATTATTATGTTATTTATGGTCATATAATATTGCATTCTGGTCTGGTGTTATATTAAGTGTTCATAATATTGTATGTATATCAATTGATCGATTTATAGCAGTTCTATATCCAATCATTTATAAAACACATCAATTATTATTAATTATAATATTTCTCATTTATCAATTATGTATGATTGGATTATTATTTATACCAATAATATTTTTTAGACATTATGATAATGATAAATGTAATTATGTACCTGGACCAAATGGAATTGATTCATTAACATATATTGCTTTTCGTGGTTATACATGGTTATTATTTCAATATATCATTCCAGTATTTATAATTACAATAAGTCATTTATTAATTATAATCAAATTAAAAAAAAGACAATATCAATCTAAAATTCTTAAATCAATTGAAGTTTCAGCTAGTAATACATTACGTAATAAAGGATATGAATTGAATAAAGAAAAAAAGTTGATTAAATTAGTTCTTATAACAGCAATTATGTCTGGTCAACAAGCTACATTACATTTATATGAATCGATACGTTATTTTTTGACAATGTTAAATATTGTAATTTATAGTTATGGTACTATTGGACAACAAATGGGTCCATTTTTAATCATATTAAGTAGTTGTATTAATCCATGTATTATTATTGGAACAACAGTATCAGTACGTAGACGATTTTCATATTATCTACATGAGATTTGGATAAAAATGAAACGGGGTTAATATATTTAATATACCTTTCATAACATTTACATTATTTTAGACAATGTGATTCAAAAGGAAAGAAATCCAAGTGTTCAATGGTTATATCAACTAAGTGATTCAATTCAAGCACAACATTATTTGGATGTTAATCTAGATGTGAAAAATAATGGTAAAAAGGTTCATTTTATCACTGAATAAAACTTCAGCTATTTATTTATCTACTTTATTCTTGGAATTCAATATTCAAGTTGTTTTTAAACATTTGTAACCTACTCAGAAAAAAATTTTTTGAATCAAATTTCTATTAGACCACCTAATCATCTTTTTTAATTTACTGAGCTGGTGTAAATTAGTTACTATATAAAGTTAATAATTGTAATACTTCATGTAGTTTAAATGTACCAGTCTACTGATATATTACATTTATGGAATAGATTGAGTCACGAGTAAGTGGTCAATTATAGTAAAGTGATAAGTTCTTATCAGTCAAGTAAACTTCTACAAGCATTTCTCTAGGAATCGTTTACTCATCACATAAATTAATAAAGTAAAACGTTTTCTTTAGAAATTAAATCAGTGTTCATCAACTACATAGATTTGTAATACTACTACTGCGATCACACATTGAAATAATCGTCTAGAATTTATTCTTTGATTCTGTTTGAAATTAGAAGTTTTCGTACACCTGTAGATTCAGAAGGATATTCATCAATGTGATAATTGATCACTGATAAAAAGTACCTGACTGATTGATTAGCACAAAGAACGTGATTCAACGGATAGTAGCCGCGTTCTGTGAATAGCTCACGGATATAGTATTTAACTATGGTACTGAATGGTACATGTTTCAATATTTCAGGAAATATCAGTTCTTTCTGAAGTTGCAGATATATCTTGTTATGATTATCAAGCAGAATAGACATATGATTCAAGAAATTCTCCTGACTGCTTTGAAAATCTTTTCTTCAATTCCAAACATTCTACATATTTTATACACATCAAATCACATAACTTATGGGAAATAATTAGAGCAAAGTGGTTCAGTTTTAGGCTATATACGTTTACTGATAAACAGTAATTTCCAAATAGGATGATATAAAGTTAATTATTGATAATAACCGTTCTCCGACCATTCGAAATATATAAAATGACAAGTCAGTATTCAATAAAAGTCTATCAATTTTCTTTTCAATTGACCTTTTTTGTTTTAATAAATTTGGAATATTTTCTTTTGAATTTCAACAATATAAGATTCGGTAATTCAGCATGTTGCTAAGTAATTGAAATACAATGGGATTTGCTTGAACTAGAATTTAGACACACTTATCTTAGTGGATTTTTATATCGTAGAAACATACCATTTAAGCAAATTACTCTTCTATTCATTCATTCACTCTTCAAATAGTTTTTTAATCTGACAAGAATTATTAGTCTATTCATCAATTGCTCATTGGTTTATTAATATGAATGATAATATTGACGTTAAATTTGACTTTTTTATGTCCACTAACCAGTGAATTTTGATTGTCAATTTATTTGATACGTGTACTTTGACCTGATTTTCGTTAAGATTCTGTATTTTAGGTAGAGTTCAAATGTTATATCATTAATTCACAAGTAAATGAAAAAAAGCTACAGCTTAGGTTTAAAACGATGCTACTGCTAGGTAAACTTAGCTTCCTATATTATCATAAATGTTGTAAATGTTCTTCGAAAAACTTAAGGGAACGAAACTGGTTTACAGAAACTATTGAGGATTGAATCGATGTTTATTTACTCAGTGGATGTATGTTAGATAATATGAAATTTATGTTATTAGTCACCAGCAAATAAGTTATTTTTTAATGGTAAAATTAGTCTTCTGATACTGTCTATCAGTTTTCATGTGCTTTGGAACTGACGTGAGTATTTAGATTCAGTTAATTCCCAAGACTGTAGTTGATTGGAAAGCATCAATACGATGTCTTGAAAAAGATTCGAACATTAGAAGATTAGTTATGTTGTCGTGGTGTTTTATTTGATAAAAAGTAATTTGAAATTACAAAAATCCATGTAATTAATTATGATGACCGTCCAAATAAGTACTAGTCCTTTCCTTTTTCGATATTTGAAAGTAATTCCCTCGGAAAATAGTATGTTTAAAAGGTCATTAGTAGAGTTTTATCAATGTTTGTTCATTTTATTGTTGTATCCAAAAAAGCCAGAGCAATGTTTGTTGTTTTACCAAAGAAACTTATCAAATAAAACTAATAATAAATCAGTGGACATATAATCAACGTTGTCACGTCGACTAAATATATCATAGGCCGAAACAACAGTCATTTTTGCGTTCATTCAGTCAACGAATTTGTCATAATATAATCTTTATTGGAAAATTAGATAAGGCTGTGACTGACTGTAATTTTTACTAATCATGTCAGAGTGTGTTGAGCCGGACACTTGCATAGTATGCTGGAGTAATATTATAGCTTATTGAAAACTTAATAACAATCGTGATTGTCAGTGAATAGTGTTAATTCAAAAAGGCTTGAGGCTATGTTTAGTTTTGGTGATCGTGCTCTAAACCATGCATTGATTTTTAAATGACTGCAGTCTTCAGCCTTGAAACAATATCGCTTGTCTTTTCTGAAGTAAATCCTAGTAGCTAATAGTTTGTTTATTGAGTTTATAGATTTTATTATTTAAAGTTAGCTATTTTAGTTAGTGCGTATATTCAAATGTACTTGGTTATCGTATAATTTAGTTTGCTTAATATAATAATATTACTTGAAGGAATTAATGAAACACATAAGCTTTTAACAAACTTGAATTGCTTAATTTTTAATTTCCGTTAAGGTGCTTAAGTTTCGAAAATATAAAATGATACGCATGGGAATCTGTAGTTTAACTAGCTCCCAGAAGCTGAAGCTGAGAGTTTTGAAGTTGTGCAGTACAGTGGAAATTGGGCGTATATGATAATTGTATATCATATTTACTATATTCGCCCACTCCGTCCTAACATATCAGTAATTCATTTTTAGAACTAAATTACATGTAAAACAGTAGTGATATAGATACCAACTCTCTTTGTATATCTTCCGGTGAAACAAGACTGGAATACATTAGAATATATGCAAGTAAGCAGAAGAATATAAGCTGAAAAAGACAGTATTCAACAGATACTATGCTATGAACAGGTTGCAGGAGGTGACTTTATCAAAAATTTATATGCATGAAGACGTTAGTATAGCACGGTTGTATAAATTAATCTTTGCTTAAAAATATCTCATTTAACTCCGGATAATTTTTCTCTTTATTTCACGCACAAATATACATACACTTATCTATTATTTCTTGTGATATAAGAATAGTAATAAAATCTTATTGAAGTATTGTATGCCAGTAATTGCATACTGTCGAACAAAGCCAATACCATTTGTTTATTTAGAATGGAACAGGAGTGAGCTATCAGAGAACTCCATGAAGAAGATTTTGTCGTCTGAATCATGTGATAATGGAACTATTTACGTGAGGCCGAAGTAATAGCACGTTTCTCAGGGTTTTTTGAAAGCAGGCTTAGCATTCACTTTAGTTTCACGACTTTGACTATTAATAAGTTACAACGACTACACCTTTCCATTATCAGTGTGAAAATCGTAAATGGAAACCTGATGTAAGTGCTGATTTGATATTCTTTTATCAGTTAAACATTTTATGAATAAATTTGTAAATTGGATTCTCCTTTGACTCATTAAGTTAACTTTTGTATGAAAACTGTGAAATATGGTCTTCACATGTATGAGTAGCTTCCAGTTCACGTTTGAAAATTGACACTCAAAATGTGCACAGAATATATTCGTCTTTCTTTTGGTGAAGAACCTATTTGATTTAATATTACAGACTCGGGTCCATATATACATTATCAAGTAAAACATGTTGGTGTTCTCCTATTTTTCTTACAACCTAATCCTATACCAGCCATCATAACGCGTCAAGGTAGTCTGTGGATGGACATGGGTAATGGATGTCCTAACCATCTTCGTTGATAAACATTCCCTACTTGGTCAGTGGATTTGCCATCCTTACGTAGTACTCTGCGTCTAATCTTAGTTGCAAACTAGATGGTTTTATAATATATAAGCAATGCTTCGAAGACACCTATGATCGGATAATGATAACCTAAGGATAAAGCAGTTTACAATACATTGATCTGCGCTCTCACCTATGTTAATCGCTTGGCTGCTTAGTGAATATACGACTACAGTTCTGCCAAACATTTACTAAATATAATATAATGCAATTAAATATACGTAATAGAACATAAAACAGTTAGATACTTGTAGTATAATGTCAATATACGGCAGATCCACACGGTGCGGATTGATTATCTGAAATACGGGATAAGAATATTAGCTTAACAGCAACATTCATTAGGACATAAATGTCAGTTTGAAAAGAAAAAGTGGACTCACTGTGTGAGAAATCATGCTGGTGCTATGGTTGACTTTATCGAAATCAGCTGTGTTCCAAGACGTACTAACCAATGAAAACTTATGCATGTTATCCAAAAATTTAGTACGAATAGGGGAAAGCTGAAATTCTTAGGCTGTTACACATTACAGTAACCTTAAACTGTTTGTTTGGTTCACTACCGACTGAATTATGGAATAACGACGATGTTGAGGTGGATAAGTCTCGACAAATAACGACTGACAACGAAAGCATTTATACTAGATTTACTACTTCAGCATGGAGCCAATGTACTTTCCACATGAAAATGCAATTTGTAAGCAGTATTTATTTTAAGTTGGTGGCAAATAATCACTTCTAAGACTTAATAGGGTTCATATAAGTAATCCATACTTCCAATGATCAGGAATGAACTTTTGATGTAGTTAATCAACAGTTTTCAAATAATAGTTACTTCCGGCTATAGTACAGTTGTTCGTGTGACAGTTGCGATGAAGGCAGAAATATTCTAACTAACTAAGGATTGCATAAGCATAGTAATTACAGTCTTTAGCTAATCACCACCAATCTCCTGAAGCACATCATTTGCTAGATATTTTCTATCGCGAGGATGGTTATGTACCATCTTGGACGAAGCTATAGTGTAACTATTGACATAATACCGCAAGCCAAACATGGCTTGACAACCCGTAAACTACAATCTACAAAGAAGTGAGTAAAATAACAGTTATTCATCATGTTACTCTCTGACCATGGCTCTCCGGATTACTTTTATAGCGAAAACAACAAACAGACAAAATACTAATAGCGGATTGCTGGTTCTGCATCGTTCAACTTGATTTCCAGCACCATGTAATGCGTCCAAATTATCTAATAATGTTACATCGTATATTATCTGCAAGAGATCGATAACATCTCTGACTTGATACAAGGTTGTCAGGAGCCTCGGTCTCTAAATCCTTTCGGATTTACCACTGATATCCAGAACGAAAAGAAATAACGTTTTATCACCTGAAACATGTAAGCATTCTGCAGAGCATACTGACCAGAGTAATATT